CACACACACACACACACACACACACACACACACACACACACACACACGCACACCCTTCAAGACATTTCTCACATGCTTTCCCATGGAGATTTCACATTAGAGTGCTCAGCTGGTCTGCGTTTGTGTTCCTTTAAAAGCTTTAAATGTCTCCGTGCTGCTCCACTAATTAACCCGGAGTAAAAGTAAAAACGTTAAAACGACGGGGAATTTGTAGAAACCGGATCACACGTTTTTGTAGGAAAACGACTTTTGGTTCGGTTTGGAAGAACTTCCAGTTGTTCTGCAACATTTCAAAGATCTAAAATGTTTTCTTCTTCTTCTATGCGTCAGGTGAACGACGTCCCAGTGGAAGGGAAGACACATTCACAGGTGGTCGCTGCCATTAAAGCCGGCGGGGAGGAGGCTCGGCTGCTGGTGGTGGACACTGAAACAGACACCTTCTTCAAGAGGTGCAGAGTGACCCCCACCTCCGAGCACCTAATCGGTGAGACCACCAGTGCCCTTTCAGGCCGGATGCCAGTTTTGCTCTCATGTTTCTAGGAAGCTTTTGAAGAATGTAAACGCCGGTCACAGCTTCTTGGCTCTGCTTCTTTTTTTAATCTCATCTCCCTCTTTTCCTCTTGTCCTCTCTCCCGCGTTTGTTTTTCTGCTGAGGATCACAGACACTAAGCCACTTCCTGCCCACCATATAACACCGATGCCCTGCAGGGAAAGTTAATCTTTCAGACGTAAATACGACAGATCAGACGGCTCAGAGTCAGGCTGCACTCACTGACCAGGTTGTTTGTAAAGTTTAAAGGCCTGGCGCTGTTTGTGCCGTCACACCGGAAACTATTTAAAAACAACAGGAACTCAAAAGTTTGGCTGAACGTCTTGAAACAGGATCATCTAAATTTGCATCACAGTTATGTGAGGTGAGACTAACCTTCAGTTTATTATTTTCACTAACTTCTTTCCAAGTCAGTGATGAACCTTCAACCACTGAACTGATCCTGATATACCTGAGTCCACCACTAGAGGGAGCTGTGGTAAAGTTCATCGTGTCCTTCCTGTCCCTGGAAAGCGTGGCGGCTGCTCTTCAGGCAGCTGGAGTTCAGCACCACCACTTAACCCTCAAGAGACCACTTACAAAATCAAGCCAGCTGTTGCCACGACAACGGATTAGCTTGAAAGATAGGGAGACGTAAATTTATCACACGGAAAAAGCTGTAATAAACATACCCCAGAATCTAAAGATGCTCAGGTTGGTGGAGTTACAAAAAAAGGTTTACATTTAGGAGAACGCCAGCATGAAACATCCAAGAAATGTGAATTAATAAAAGACAATTTTATGGTTTTAACTGTTTAAAATAAGCTACTTTAGTCCAGGGGTTCCCAGAGTCTGGGTCTTTCTAAATCGATGTGAAATAATTTGTGGTATGAAGTAAAGCAAGAAGCATCTTTATATTTTGTTTTGTTTCGTCAGACCCCAAGAGCCTCAAAACTACTGAAGGTTTAATAAAATGAAATATTACAAGAGGCTCCGTTTGGTTTGCTCAGTATATTTTTGATCAACCTTAAAGCAACTGTTCAGAAGTTCTGCGGAAGGTTTTCACCAATAAATATCTTACCTGTTGCAGATAGCTCTTTGATACCTCAGTTTGGGAAAATTGGGTTTAAGTTTGACCGAATTGACAAGCTGTCATCTTTAGTTTGCATAAATCACCATAAAATAAAATGAAATGAGATTGGAGTTGTTTTCAGACGTCAGTGATCCTCTTTAGTCCTGGTTCTGGTCGGACTAGCCATTAGTTTGTCAACCTGGTCAGAAATAAACTATATTTCTCCCAACTGGGGTTGTTCAAAAAGCTATCCACAACAGGTAAGATATTCATTGTTCAAAACCTTTCCACAGAACTTCAAAAGATCTGATTATCCTTTATAAACAAAAAATAATGTAATGAAATGTACTCTATTAAAAGCATGAAGGAGCATGAACTTTAAAGTACAATAAGTACTTTCGAACGTAGTTTGGATCAGTCGTTCTTCAAGACTTTTAATGGTCTTCAAATAGTTTTGTATTATGAACTATTCATTAGGATCACATTAGCTTATAAGCTGTGGTATTAGCGATGGTTTAAATCTTTTGCACAGAGCTGTGCTTTCACCTTCAGGTTCAGGGTTAGAAATATTAAAACAAGATTAAAGACTCCCTCCAGGTGTTTCCCAGGTAATTGCCTGCTGCCCACTCAGAGGCCACCGTCCTCCGTTCGCTTCTCACACGCCGACACACACGGCTGCAGCTCTCCGAGCCGCCCGGCGGGTCAGCGCTTTGTGTGGTTTCCACGGCGCCCACTCAGATGTGGCCTCTCGGCTCTGAGCAGGAGATGTTAGGACTCGGAGAGGCTCCTTTCAGAATCAGACACAAACAGCGAGGGCGAGAGGACTTAAATCTCAGGTCACTTCTGAGCGACCTGCTCCTGTCTTTAAAGATCAGGGAACATGGAAGGTGAGGTTAAAGAGCGGGCGATGTCCTTAAATCTGGTCTGAAGAAGTCCAGTTGGTCAAAATGTCCCACTTGAGAATGACTAAAAGATGAGCTGCTAAGAGACAAACGGGGCGGCGCTGAAACTAAAAGCAAAGCGTAACAGAGATGATTGTGTTATTTTAGAGTCCATGAGTGACCGCACTGTGATTTTCTCGTCCACAGGTCCACTGCCAGAGCCCGTCACCAACGGAGAAGTGGAGGAGAAGGTAAGCTTCAGCTTCATCTCTGAATGTACAGAGGTAGAGTTAGCTTTGAGAGTCTGCCTCTGAACAGAAGCCAAGATTTGAGCTTTGAAGATGGTGAGTCTCCCACAGAGGCCACTTCCCTCCTCACAGATCTGACCTCTCCTTCCTGCCAGCAGCGAGGAGGACAATAATAGTTGAGCACACCTACAGCCTGAAAGGCCAAGGTCTCTCTGTGTTCAAAAGCTGCTTCTTTTTTAGACGTGGTGTGGCACACCAGAGAAGTGGTTATTAATCACAGACTTGTATTTCCTGCCATTGTTGAATCGTTGTGTGAAAAGAAGCTCCACCCATTGAGTTTTCCATTAACTTCTGGAGAACTCAAAGAGTCTTGACAGAGAGTATATATGAAATCTAAAAACAAATACAGCAGATAGTTATATAATCCTCTGTTAGGGAAATTAATATTCAAAGTACCATAATTTTAGGCCTATAAGTCACACACCAAAGCGACTTAGTTATGGATTTTTCCCCATATTTATAAACCAATTTTTGGCTGAGATATGACCGTTTTTATTCATTCGGACAATGGAAATATTGAACACTGCCATTTTCAGCCACTAGATGGCACACAAGAAATATGGCATGCCATTGCATCATGTAATAGGTAAAAGTGGCTATTAATGACACAATCGTCTTGCCATAGCCTGCCACTTTTGTTCTGCTCGCTGCTTGGAGCAACAGTCAAACCAGCTTCATTTCACTGCACCGCCCCGGCAAAATGCAGCTAATTTGACCATTAAAGTGCATTTATTAAGTAAAAGTTAAACTGAGACATACTTGTGCTATAATGTCAAGCAAACAAATAATTGTTTTAGCTGCTTATCTTGTTAAATTTCAAAGAAATACACAGCGAGTTGTCCCTCTGCATGCGCCCAGTTCAGCGAATTGGCTTTTGAAATGCAACTGATTTGACCATAAAAGTGAATTTATTAAGCAAAAGTTAGACTGAGCCACACCTTTACTATAATTTTGAGCAAACAAATAATTGTTTTTAAATGTTAATCTTGTTAAATTCTTGTTAAAGTCCTCCCGTGCACGCACCCTGAATTTGACAGGGATCCATTGGAGAGAAGCTAAAACTGGAGCGATATGATCTCTCCCATCAACTCTCATTAATACTCTGGCAGCAGTATTTTGGATCAATTGAAGACATTTTAAAGAAGTTTTTGGACACCCAGATAATAAACAATTTCGATAGTTCGGCCTAGACATGACAAATGCATGGACCAGTTTTGCTGCATCGTTTTTAGACAAGATGTTTCTAATTTTAGTGATATTACACAGGTGGAGGGAAGCAGTTCTAGTAAAGTTTTTAATGTGGGAGTTAAAAGACATGTCCTGCCTAAAAATAACACCAAGGTTTTTTACATTAGAACTGGAACCTGTTCAGGTTGCTGTTTAATACATCATATTATTATTGTTGTTTAGCATATATAGATCCTTATATTCTGTTTCTTTTTATACTTTATATATTTGCTATTTTGGGGTGTAACTGGGACCTTCTGTTCCAAACTACATGTACCACATGTGATGTGAATGACAATAAAGTCATCTTGAACCTTGGGGGCCAAATTAATGCCATCCAGAGGAAGTGAAAGGCTGCTAAATTTATTCCTAAGATGTCCAGGTCCAACAGCCACAACCTCTGTCTTGTTTAAGTTTCAAAGCAGAAATTTAAGGGTCATACAGAGTTTTAGATCTTTAAGACATGCTTGTAGTCTAAGTAACTGATTGGATTCATTGGGTTTCATGGATAAATATAACTGAGTATCATCAGCATAACAATGAAAATGTATCCCATGCTGTTTAATAATGTTACCTAATGGAAGGATAATGTAAAGTGTATTGGTCCAAGCACTGAACCCTGAGGAGCTCCATGACAAACTTTAGTGTATGAAGAGGATTCATTATTTATATTTACAAATTGGACTCTATCAGATAAATATGACTTAAACCAGTTTAAAGCCATTCCTGTAATCCCAATATCATATTCAAGTCTCTCTAGAAGAATATTGTGATCGACTGTATCAAATGCAGCACTGAGGTCTAACAGGACCAGTGTAGACACCTGTCCATTGTCTGAGGCCATGAGAATATCATTAGCAATGTTCACCAGTGCTGTTTCCGTGCTATGATGAGCTCTAAATCCTGACTGAAACTCCTCAAACCGATTATTTCTGTTAAGATGTTCACACAACTGACCTGCAACTATTATCTCAAGAATTTTTGAGTTAGAAGTTAGACTAGATATAGGTTGATAATTGGCCAGAGTTCCTGAATCAAGATCAGACTTCTTAAGTAAAGGTTTAAATACAAGAACCTTAAAGCACTGTGGTACATAACCATTCATTAGAGATAAATTAAGCAGATCTACAATGTTTATATTAATTAGGAGAAATACCTCTTTAAACAGTCTGGTTGGGATGGGCTCTAGCAGATATGTGGATGGTTTGGATGACGCTATTATTTTTGACAATTCAGAGAGCTCAAAAACAGTCCAAACATAAATAAGGTTCTAGTGACATTTCTAAAGCTGCCTCATCTGACAGGGAATCAGAGGCAATAGTAGGAAGGATGGTGTGAATTTTCTTTCTAATTAAAATAATTTTCTTTATAAAATAATTACCAATATGGTAAAAGAAACCATCGTGTCCATGCTGGCTGTTGGGCTTTTGAGCAGAGTAAACGCCTGACTGACACTTCCTGTTATTCAGGAACTGTATGTGAAAGTACTGGTCCCATATTGTTGCGTAATGCTTGTTGAAGAGCTGAGATGGGAGGGGGTTGAGAAGGAGGTCAAGGAAAAGTGCTTCTCAGGTAAAAAAAACAAAAAAAACATTTATTAGTGAAAAAAATGAATAGTTGAAAGGTTTTACAAGTTTGTGATCAACAAACCAGAAATGTTAAGGCTGGTAGGAGGTTTCTCTTAGCAGACAAATAGAAAATACACAAGTTCCTTTGAAAAACAATTGATTTTATGCGAATTTTGTGAATAGAGAACAACAGATAATCAGCTAAAATAAGGAAAATGACATTACATAGAATTTAATAATGATTTTGCATATAATTAGGTAATAAAGTATTTGATCCTCAAGCAAATTGTGACTTGGTTTGTTTTCATTGGTTTCTTGTAGTTGGTCAGCAGGTCTGAATACAACTCAGGAGGGATTGTGGCACACTCCTATTTACAGAAACTTTAAATCCTTTAGGTCTCTTGACTTCTGCATGGCACTTCAAAATCTTCAGGTCCCTCCACAAGTTTTTTTTATACCAGTTCTTCCTGAATTTCAGGTCTGGACTCTGGACCCCCTTTTACAATACTCTCTAGAAATATAGGCAAATTTAAAATGAACCGCTATTAGCATTTTGTTGCCATATTTGACACAAAAATGAGAAGATAAGTCACGAATGGTTAAAATTATATATAGTTGTTGGTGTTGTTGGTTTTGTCACTACGTTTTTTAAATATTTCTCGTTAAAAATATTTAAAAACTTCAGTCAGGGTTGTCAGTCTCTGCCGTGGTTAATATTTGGCTCAGAAAATAAATAAATAAACATTTAGGAACATTTGTTTTATAAAAATGACGTCTGGAGACTGGTTTTAAGCCACTCATTTATCTCAGTGGTAGTTTTTGGGTCATTTTCATGCTCAAAGTCTCATCCAGGTCTACGATTTTATAGACCTGTTCACTGACCCCCTGATGCCTCCAAGTCGCCCGGTACTCTTAGGAGAAAAACAGCCCCATACCATAATGTTTCCACCTCTGTGCTTCACTGTATATATTTATATAATAGTTTTCTGCAGGTCAAACTCAGAATTTCTCTTCCTCTGAACACGGCGGGTCCAGATGACGCCAAGGAGCTTCAGACTTCAGAAGTTCAGACCTTCCCATAGTTATTGCCACAAATTTGTAATTGCAGTAAATAATTTGTTTAATGGACATTAATGGATCATTGTGTCTAAAACATGTGAAATCCAAAACTGCCCACATGTGGTGAAGTAAGAGACTGCAGGAAGGCCTGAGATCCGTCTGTGGTCCTTAACTTTACTTTTATCATTTGTCTGTCGTTGAGATGCTGATGAATGCTTGCGTCCGCAGGTGAACGGCAGCAGAGACGCCGTTAAGGGAGAGAGGAACTCCAAGGTGTCGATCAGTCCGTCGCCCTCCAACGCTTCCTCCAACGCCTCGCTCACGACCCCGACCACCAGCACCCCTCTAGAGGTGCGGCAAGCTTTAAAAGGCTCGACACGTTCTCGTCCAAACGGGCTGATTTTCTCACCCTCGCCTGTTTGTTTTTCAGGGTCCGATGACCGACGCCATCCCCGCTCTGAACCTCACCCTGCAGCAGGTCAAAGAGCTCACCCACCAGAAGCGCTCCAACAAGAGAGCCCCTCCAATGGACTGGACCAAGAAAAACGAGCTCTTCAGCAACCTATAGGACACCCCAACCCCCACTACACACAATCTTATTTCCTTCCTACAGACATCAGAGAGAGAGAGATTTTATTATAAGGAGGATTTTAAAAGAAAAAGAGGAAGTTATTGCTGTAAAATATATAGTCTTATTGTTATTAGCCCTCATATAACTCGCATTTTATATTGTTTATTGTGTTACTAACCAGATAGATCTGTATGTGTGTGTGCGTGTGTAAGGATTTGGCTGCAGTAAGAAGTGTAATTCCAGCTTTTTTGGTCTGCCTTCACCCATTTTAGGTTTTTAAATCAAGTGTTGGAGAAAGTAGTTGATCCGGTATCATTTTTATATCATAAAAGGTTCTATGAGCTTTTACTTTTACATTTCCTTTAAAAAGTTGACGCTATAGACTCCTGTATGTCTTGTTTTAATGATTTCAACAAAATGTAAACAAGGTGTCTTTGTCTTGGTCATTTCATGTGCTGGTCCTGTTGTGGGAACTATGGTGTAAAACTGGAAATAACATTTTAATGTGCATTCTTGTCCATTTTACTGTATATAAATTATATATCGCATATTGTGTATATTTTTCGATCTACGGCGTAATGCCATCCACCCATCTTTATCTATACTTTATTAAATGTGAACCACTTTGTACATTAAGAAAACTACACGTCGTATTTCAACACCACAACCATTTCTGGCTGCTTGGATCGCAGGCTTTGACATTTTAAAGCTCCGATACAAAACGACTGTGTGAGATTTTTATATTTCTCTCATTGATTTGAGGATTGGTTCGTGTTCGCCGCAGAGATTGAGCTTTGGGAGATTTTGTGAATGAATGAAAAGAAAAATAGAAGTGATTCTAAAACTAAATGAGTCAGGAGAGGAGGAGAAAAGTGTCTCTAGTATTTGGGAGCAATAAGAGTTTTCTGTTCTGTAAAGCATCCGTGCGACAATATTATTATTATATCTGAGAATAAATAAAGTGTTTCTTAAACGCTGCTGTGGTGTTTGTGTTTTACAGAAACTTTGGATGACATGGAATATGATGTATCGCTCATTTTTGTGAAGTTTGACAGTTTTCACTTCAGAAAGATTTCCATATGCTTCCCAATGGATCCCATCAGATTCTTCTACATCCATAAAGATGTGATGTTTCTGGTTCACATCCATGCAAACAGAAAATGTTAAAGTCTATAAAGTCATCTTCTGATAGTTTATTCTCTTCAGAATTTCACTCAATAAACAAAACACATTCTAATTTTTATGACACTTAAAGTAGCAAAATCTGCACACTTGCCGTATTTTTTCGCAGTATAAGTCACAACTTTTTGCATAAGTTAGTATGCATATGACTTATACAGCAAAGTGACTTATTTATGTTTTTTTATATATATTTATAACCCAAATTTTGGCTGAGATCTGAGGAGTTCATTCATTCTGACATTGAAACATATTGAACACTACCATTTTCAGCCACTAGAGGGTGGTCAAGGTATATGGCAAGCCAAGTGTCTCATTAACAGGTAAAAGTGACTATTAATGGGACACTTGGCTTGCCATACAAAGCCACCTTTGTCTCGCTCCAGAACTCCTGGAGAAAACGTCAAATCCATTTCACTGTGCCGCCCAGGACAAATGCAGCTGATTTGACCGTCAAAGTGCATTTATTAAGGAAAAGTTCAACTGAGACACACTTTTACTATAATGTCGAGCAAAAAACAATTGTTTTTAGGTGGTTATCTTGTTAAATTCGTGTGAAAGTCCTCCTTTGCACGATCCCGCGGCTGTCAGTTGGCAGCCAATCGATTTATGGCACAAAGGTCAGCGGTGACGCATAATAGATGCGATTTATACGGCGAAGCGACGTATTTATGTTTATTTTCCACTTTATTAGACATATTTGGACTGATGCGACTTATATGGCAGTGTGACGTGTACGGCGGCAAGTACGGTAAGTAAAACAAACACAATGAAATGTTTTCTGTACAAGGTGTGCATAACAATATGACCACACTGTGACAGAGTTAATTTTATTTGTCTGATTCTGTACGTCACAACATTAAAGTCAATAATAACTCCTCTAAGTTTTCAGGCTTAATTATTATTTTAAATAAATAACTTAAAACGTGTCTCTGTAATGAAAGCAATGGAGCTTAAATAATTTTCCTTCGGAGCCACAAAACATTTACAGCAAAAATAATCTTCAGTAGCGTGTGTACATGTTTCTGCATGCTGTCTAAATAAAATGACAAACATGTTCATATTGTAATGTATTATATAAATAATAAAAGTGACAGTCAAACCGTTTGAAGTGTGTGTGGGTGGTTCAGCGTTTATGAACAATAATTATCTTACCTGTCATGGAAAGCTCTTTGTAAGGTCTCAGTTTGTAGGAATAAAAGTTTAATTTTCACCAAATGGATGTGATTTATTGCCTGGTTCAAGTCAGAGGTCATCAGGCTCCTCTTTGATCATCTGAACGGACCAGATCTGTTCATTTTGCTGCATGTTAATATCTAAATGACAGTTAAGACCTTTAAAGGTTCTATTATGTATAGAAGTTATGAACAATTAATATATTTTTGTAGTTAGCTTGTTAAACGACCTCTTACCAGAATTATGAGTGAATGACTAATCTGAGTGAGTTTAGGATCAAAGTGGATCGCTGCTGTCTCGAAGCGACAAAAACTCAAAATAATAATAATAATAATAATCCTCGTGGTTGTTTGTATGCCATTTTATAAACCATCAGTTTCTTATTATCTGGTTATTTCCATATAAATCCATGATTATTAGCAAGGACACATAGCTGTAGCTGTAATACTTCCTGTATATGCATATAATAATATATCTATATATTAAGCATTTAATGCAAAACTGAAAACAATGTAATTTACTGTCAAGTAGCTACGGCATGATCGGATTAGAAAAATTTAAGACTGGATTTGTTTTCAGTCCCATTTGAATTTACCCTCGTCTGATCAGTCCTGTCGAAATTAAACTTTTTGTCGAAACTGGGGTTGATTTCAACAGCAATCTGCCACAGGTAAGATATTGACTGTTCATTAACTTCTTCACATAATCCCAGTTCAAAAAATCTGAACTATCACCAAACAGTTTGGAGTGGAATCAAATTATTATGTGATATATTTCTCTTCCTTCTTAAAATATTGACTGGTAATGTAGCTGTGGGTCATTTTATGATACAGCTTCCACTAAAACGTGTTAAACACCATTCAGACTGCTGTTAGTAGTTATTAAATATATAAGTATTTACAGTTCAGGGCTGGGATGAGGGCTCTGCTGCTCCGTCCTCCTACATGTCACTTTGTCCCCATAGTCTCTGTCTCTAACTAATGTCCTCGATGTCTCTGCTCCTCCACTCTGCTTCCAGTCCTGCCATCATTATCGAAGCTCATCATGCTGCTCCCCGTCTCTGAGAGGAAATCAACCTCACGGGACTCCAGGGTTTTATAGGACATCATGTAATAACCAGGTAAGAGGGTGAGTGTGGGAAGAGACTGGGTGATGATGGCTGCTGACATGGAGGCAGCACCGGTGGATTTACTGTAAAAAATATATAACGAGACTGAGATTAAAAAAATGAATAAAACACATCTTGTTAGGATCTAAGGGCAGGAACTGCATTATTCATTCAACACAAACATTTACCATGAATAAAAATATAATTCCACCATCACTGAAGTTTTTTGTTTCCAGATGTTGGACAGATGATAAGGCAAAACAGACTGATTTTTTTTAATTATCTTTTTTGATGACTTCAGCAGATCCATGCTGCCAGGTTCTCTGCTCTGTTGGTTAATTAACCCTCCTGCTGCCCTTGGGTCAAAATGACCAACGTTAATTCATTCGTAAGAGAAGAACAACATAAACAATGTTCCAAAACTCAGATTCTCCTGAAACTCTTTCACACAGTTTCAGGCTTTTGACCTCCTAATTAACAAACATGTATATAAACGCACAGTAACATCTGATAACACAAATCCTCCTAAACAAGTCTGTGACCTAAAAAAAATAATTAACTAGTGCTGAACTAGCTAACTAAATCAGGTTTTATGCTTGTGGAGCAGCAAACTGAGCACAAATAGAAACTTACTAAAAAAAAATAATTAAAACAACAATCATCTAAAAAGGAGAAGGCAAGATTGTGTTTTGTTTTATTCTGTTACTAAAATAGACTTTAGCTGTCGGTCATTAAACCATATCTGCTCAGAAAATTCCCAGGTTTGGTTGGTGGGTTAAACCATTTTGAAACTCAAAATGGGTGTGTGTGAATTCTAAATTATTTAGAACAGAGAGTGAAGTTCTGCGGAAATGTCACTGATTTTATTTACTATTTAAAAATGTATATATTAGCAAGACAACAAATAGGGTGGAAACTGGAGGGACATGAAAGTTTTTTTCCAGGGGCAGCTGCCATCCGGTGCCACCCCTTAGGGCCACCACTGACTGGTTGGGTCCACATGTGGGTAGTAATAAAGACAAATGGTCATGAAGCGGCATGTGACAGAAAACGTAAGCGTGTGCAGGTGGAGTACATTTGTGTTTCACCAAATGATCATATGAGTTAAAAAGTGATTATGAGAAAAGACTTTTACAAAAAAAAACTGTTTTAGAATCTGCCTAGACCAAACATGTTTTGATTTCAGGCTGTCTGATGATGTAACACTTAAAATCAAACTAAATACATTTTTCATACTTTCACTCTGTCAGTAACTTCCTCTGCCACTCCGCACAACCATGAAGTGAATGACGACATGAGAGGCAATGGAGGGCGGTGACGTAGGTAATTAGGATGATGAAGGGCAGGTGCGGGCCTTTGCAGCTTAGGTGTAAACATGGCCCGTTGCTAGGCAACAGTGTCCACCATGGGGGTCCTTGTAAGGCATGCAGCTGGGGGGCAAGACAAGGAGTCGAGAGATCTCTCCCTTTAAACACTGCAGGGAGCTGAAAATAGATACAGTGTGTGTGTGTGTGTGTGTGTTGGGGGGGGGGGGGGGGGGGGGTGAAGCCACAGTGGAGAAAATTACAGACAAAACCAAAGCTCCATGGAACGTGTGACATTAGCTGCGTGGAGGCGGTGAGGGTGGAGGACAAAGTCTGACGCACAAGCTGAGGGTCTGAGGTGGCTGTAATCAGATCTTCTCCTTGTCTTCTCTGAGAAATCCTCATCCTTTCTGCT